CGGGGCAGCTGTGACATTGCTCCCGTGCCCGCTGGCAAGGAGGGATCAGCAGCTCCTCAGGACCTCAAGAGGGTCTTGCGAAAGGGTGTAACGACGGCCGGGCAGGGACAAGAGCTGTAAAAGTCAAACATCCTCTCGGCCTCTTCTTGGGGACCCATCTGTCAGGCCTCCGGCCGCAGTTTTTAACTATTTGGAGGTAAATTCTTCAAGCCTATCTATCTCGGAGGCTTCTCTCAGACTCTGGACTTTTCCCTTCCTTTGGGGTATTATCAGCAATCTTGGTTCCTTGTTTGATTTGAAGGTCACTTGGGGCTTTATCTCGGTGCCATGCTGTAGACTCTGGCTTATGCCATTTTTATCTTCAAGAGCCCTGAAGACAATCGGTGCATTGATGAGATTAGGTGACGCGCCGCCCCGCTCGCCCTCCACGTCCCGCCCTGCATACAAAGGGCCGGCGCCTGGCGCACCCCCCAAAGCCCCCTCCCCACAGCCGGGGGTCACAGCGTCGCCTCCAACCCATCCCAGGGGGGTCCTGCCCTGAGGGGTGGTCAGGGTGTCCATCCATCCATCGGTACCTGCTCTGCAAATACCAGCGTAGCAGAGCAACATCAGAGATGTGTATACACCCCTATAAATGCATGAACATACATTAGGATACGTATGTTTTTAGATACCTCTCTTGATGGAGACAACAAACGTAAAAATAACTCAGCACCACCCCAGAAATTCTTCCTCAACCCAAAGGGCAATCAAAGTGGTTTGACTCTTCCTTAAAGAGGAGCCCACCAATAAACCCTTGGTTTTTTGGGTGTATTTCTGGATACTACACGTTGCTCCTTGGGGTTTGTGCTGGTTCTGGTTGCAGAGCCAGTGCCAGTGGTTGTAATATTTTACTGTTGGGTGCACTGTGGGGCTCTGTGGGCACAGTGTGCTGTTAGGAGCTTTTCCTGGTTTTATGGGGGGTAATTAGGGCTTTATGACAGGAGCGAAATGGGAGAGTCCAGTCCCCATAAACAGGTTTATAATGGATATAAACTATGCACCTCTGTAACTTAGCAAGATTAACACTTTAGGGACAATTTGAGTGGCAGCCCAAAAAAATCAGAGCGTTGCCGGGAGCTGCCTTTGGGAGGGTGAGAAGGTCCTGGCACCGCCCTGGCTGGTTCCCTGCTGGTGCAGCATTTGCTGAGTGACCCCAAAAGCCTCTCGGGTGCTTTGGCTGCCTTGTCCTGTTTCTGGGCTCCAGGCCCATCCCGGGACAGAGCCGTGGCAGGATCCCTGCAGCCCCTCCTTCCCCCCGAGCCATCCGTGATCCGGAGCCGAGCGCAGCGGGCGTGTTTTGGGGTTGGGTATTGCCGGTGATTTGCAGGATGTTTGCAAAGCTCCGGGCAAAAGTGCAGCCTGGTGCCGGAGGAGGAGGTTGGGATGTGCCGGGCGGCGGCAGCAGCTCCTGCTCCACGGGAATTCCCTTTTAAAGTACAGGGTTAGTTTTATTATTTTATTTTATTTTTTAAGTACAATTTAATCTTATCAATAGGACTTAAAGCAGAGGGGATCCGAACTGCTTCTTTGCTTTCACCTGTCAAAAGACACAAGCTTGAAATTGAAGGATTTCAAGGGAAGGATTTTTTCTGGTCTCTTTTTCACCCAATGCAGCAAAAACCAGAGGGTGCCTAGAAAATGACATAAGCTTGTGATGAAAACAGCAAAGTTATCGATCACTGCTCTAAGCCCCCTGATTACTATCCCACATCCCAAAAAAAAAGATTCCCCAGGGGCAGTGGGGCCTGGGGCTGTCACACTGCCTGTCCCCCCCCCGGCTGAAACACAGGGTTAAGGCTACGGGAGTCAGACCCTGCAGCTCGTCTGGAAACAGGGGAAAGCAGTAAAACATTTCCCGGGCAGTGCAGCTCAGGGGCTGCACAAAAGCTGGGTCCCATAAACAGACTTTTATATCATGGCTGTAGCTCCAGTAAAAAAAAAGGAAAAAAAAAAAAAAAAAGGAAAAAAAAAAAAGAGGGCCCATTCCTTGTGATCCCCATGCTGGCTCCTCTCCTGAGCAGCTGCAGAGAGAGGCTAAGAGGAAATATCTCTTAGCACAGGGGCTGCTTCCAGCTGCAGAGGTGCAGGAGAGCAGTGGGAGATCAGTCACGTCGAGCTTCAGTGTCTGAGCCCTGGCTCGTAAACCTGGGAGCCCCCCAGTTGGTCCAGGAGGAAACCACTGTGTCCTGTTGCAGACCGTTGGAGCCCTTCCCTGTGCATCCAGCCTGGCTGTTGGGGTCCCTTGGAGGGGTCTCTTGGAGGGTCCCAGGGGCTGTGCTGGCAGGGGATGGCTGGTAGAGCGTGTCAAGGGTTCACTTCCTGGCGATGGCAGAGTGTGATCAGGATTCCCACTTTCCCAGGAAGCTTGGAGGAAAGGTCCCCATCGCTACGGAGGAGCTCTGCTTATTACAGCAGTGACAACAGACACAGCAGTAATGCCCTGTGTTAGTTCCTAGTATTAATTATCTAGTCTGCCCAAATCCAGCCCAGAGCTGAGAGCATGTGAATGACAGTAACATTCATCCCGTTCTAGGGATGGAAAAAACCAAGCTGGGATAGTTGGTGACTTCCTAAAGTTCTGTGGGATAGTTGTGGTCAAAAGGCTTTTTCCCTGCCCAGCAAGGGGGTTTTGGGCATCCCTATGTGCCCATGATCTTTGGGGACATGAGAGCAGGGGACTGGATGCTGGCACTGCTGCCACCAGCCCCATAGCCTGACCTCACGCTCCTCAGGAGAGTTAATTTTCATCAAGACTCAGAGTCTTCAGTGGTTTTATCTAGAAACCCAAAATCTCGGTCACTAGACTATCTGAAAATCTCAGCATTGGTTATTGTTTCTCAGACAATAAAAGCTTTGTCCTTGGGACTGCAGGGAAAAGCTTGAAAATCAGCATTTAACATCTCATATGTTTTTTAAGACAACTTCAAAACTCTGTGTGCCTTGGCTCACAAGCACCCTCAGTTGGGTAAAAGTGTGATTTTGGGGATGAATCTTTTTATTTTATTTTTTTTTCCTTGCTGAAATCTTCCCCAAACCCAAAAGACACCAAAGACTGAGCAGAAAACTCTGCCTTCCCTCCCAAGAGGAGCCGCCTGTGCTCCTTGTCTATCTTTTAAGATCACGATCAGAAGAAAGGGCTTTATTTTATCTTCCCTCCCATTGTTTAACCAGCGCTGCAGGATCTCAGCCCGGCAGCGGCTGAAGCACGAGGCCGGGACCGTGGGGAAGAATGTGTGTGACAGTGCCCGGGTTGAGTAATGTTTACCCTGTTCATGGCAGGGACGTCCACTTGGACCCGCAAATATCCACCTGCCAGAGGACATTCTTTTATTATCAGGGATAAAAGGAGTTTGCTGGGAAATGATCAGGAACCAGACATCGCGGGGAGATTCCTATCTGTGGGATGTGTTTAAGCAGCTGATGAGGAGAATTCAGAGGCAATTGGAAGAGGGGCTTTGCTGGGGTTTTGGTGGAGGGCACGGGGTAGCCATCTGGAGTCTGGCAGGTGCTTTTGGAGCTCAGGGAAAGCTCCTGGACTCAAATTATAATTTAATCCCTTTTCCTTGATTTAGAGGGTTTTTAGAGTAGCCTTTAGAGCATCCTCTGCCCAGCCAGCCTGCATCAGCTCTTCCCCTCAGGCACCTGGGAGAAGAAGATCCTGAAATCCTAGGAGGAACATCCTTTACTTGGGTGGGCTTTGGAGCTGGGGCTGTTTGTGTTGTGCCAGAGAAGATGCCAGCACCCTCCAGAGACTGGACCTCCTGGCTGTTGGTCATTCTGGGGAGCCATGGCTGGGGGTCATGGTCAGATGATGCTCTTGGTGGTCTCAGTTGTGAGGGTGGGCTTTGCCACCATGGTTTCCTTTCCCAGGAGAGCTGTGGGCTGTCTGTCTGTCCACCACTTCAATCTCAGGGCAGTTCAGAACCCAGCCTCGAGCACAGTGCTGGACTCCTCATAATAAATGGCTTCTCCTTGTAGTCATCAAGGCAGCCTTGTAAAAGACGCTTTTGTTTCCCGTGGGTTTTCCTCAGTTAATTATTTGTGATCTGTAGATGCCTTTCCATGACACATGGCTGATCATATGGTTATCAGTGCAGGATGTTTTAGCCAAATTAAATATATTTATACAGAAGACCTGTGCTCGAGCCACATTTCCCTCCTTGGTGGTGGTGGGTTGGGATCTGATTTGGAGGTTTGTGTCTGTCTGGTCCCTCTGTCTTCCTGCAGTAATCTGTTAATCATACACACGTTGAGAGGATGCAGAAGGGCCTGGTTGTCCCAAGCTGGGCAGTGCTGGGCTGGCTGGACAAGCCTGGCAGAGGGAAGAGCTGGAGGACACAGCGTCGCTCCCCATGAACCCCCAGCTGGTGTCCAAGAGCTGTGGGCACATGGCAGGAATTTGCACGATGGATGCATAGGGTGCAGATCAAAGCACAAGGGGTGCAGATGGGTGTCCAGGGTGCTGGCCAAGGTTGGGCTCCCTTTCTGCCTTGCAGCACTGGGGCACTGGGGGGGCTACAGACCCTGTGGGTATTCAGCATCCCTCACCACAACCTTCTCATTGTAATTTCATGAGATGGGGTTGGGGAGAAGCTGGGAAGTGGCACTAGTGGAAGAGGCACATTGTCTGGTCCCATTCTTCCTGTTTATTGTTCCAGAGAGTCATTTAAGAGCTTGCACGTCTGTTTACATCTTCATGCCATGCACCCCAAGGGAGCTGGGGAGGGATTGGGGGGGGGGTTCCTCCTTTGCAGGGAGACTTTCAGAGGGGGCTGGGGACACATGGGGTGTCCAGGGACGATGCCAACGCCTGCTGGTGTTTTGCAGGGGTCCGGTACAACCAAGGGACGAGCAGCGAGGCAGCATCCTCCGGGGCCATCAGCCACCACGGCAGCGGTGCCATGGTCACCACCAGCCAGGCAGTCCTGCAGCAGGTCTCCCCGGCCGGCTTGGACCCCGGCCACGGGCTGCTCTCGCCCGACGGTAAAATGGTGAGTACACCTGGCCTATTGTGGCGGCGACGCTGATAAGATAAGAGGGCCCAGCGGGCAAAGCAAACACGCTTTCCCCGGGTTTCACACGCGGCCCGCGCTGAACAATGGGACATTGTGGGGCTGGGGCAGTGGCCGTCCCCACCGCCAGGGTGGCCCTCGGCCCCCTGCTCCCCCACCGGGAGGGGAGGGTTTTCCCAGTGCAGCCCGTAAATCCAACAGAGCCCCCGCGCTGGTTCTCATCGATCACATGCCTGGAGGGCTGAGTGGGCTCCGAGTGGATTGGTGTTTGTTTTCTCCTGACGTGGGTATCGATAAAATCCTCATTCATTATTTTTTCCTTAAGCCCTCCCAAGTTTGGAGTTTGGCTGGGGAAGCACTTCCCTTGTGAGCAGGGACATCCTTGTGCCAGGGCATCATCCCAGGCATCACCAGGGCTTCACCCAGGTATTGCCCTGGACATCTCCCCAGGCATCACCTGGACATCTCTCAGGGAATCACCCAGGGCATCGGACCCTTTCTGGGCACCCCTGGCTGGTGCAAAGTCCTTTGGGCAAGGAGTGGACACATGGCCGGAGCAGGGCAGTGCAGCCCTTCCCCACACAGGCTGGCAGAGGTTTGTGAGCAGCTGCTGCTCTTCCGGGAGGAGGTTTTTGTTCTGCTGAAAGCGAAAGTCAAACATGGCACTGGGCAGCCAGGCCAAGCTCCCTCTTCCCTGGTTTTCACTTCCATTTTCGGAAGGTTAGCCCTATTGGGCCGTGGCATGAATCTCCTCACATGGCCATGGAGGGGCTTGTTACCCTCTCCCTCAGCTATGGCACCATTTAACTTGGTTTCCTTCTGGCTAATCAGGGTCTCCCTGCAGCCCCTCAGGCTCAGACGCTCACCCTGTGAAACCAAGTGTGTCCCCCCAGGCAGGGGGGATATTGCAGAGCTAAACCCTTCCCTCCCAGCACCCTACCTCCACCCTAAACGCACCCATATCTCCCCAGGGGTGTGTTGAGCCTTATAACCCTGAGCCTTGAAGTCATAAAATGAGTCAGAAATAAAGGCAGCAGCCAACAGCAAGTGCCTGGGAGTGGGGTCTGCAAGGACAAAGCGATGCCCAGCTCAGTGGCAGGGGCTGCCAGCAGCTCCCCTCAAACCCTTCTGTCAGGGCCGTGTCCGAGGGCTGGGTTTGCCAGAGCATAGAGACCCTTGGATGGGGCAGAGGCAGCTCACAGCATCTGGGAGGTGTGTGGTAGAAATGCAGCAGATTGAAGTGGCAGAAGCAACTTGGGGTGCAGCAGGCAGGGGCGTGTGGCAGCCAAAGCCCTGCTGAGTTATCCCCCTGCACAGGTTGGACGTGGGTCCTCGGCAGCGTGCAGCTCTGCCAGCTTATCTCTGATCTTCAAGCAGGGCTAGCTAGTGCTTGCAAGTGATTTAATAAAAATATGCTGTAGGCTGTGGTTTCTAGTAAGTAAACATGTGCCTTTAATACCCCACATAAAACCAAAAGCTGCCAAGGAAGTTGCTGCATCGGAAGGCAATCCATTTTTTCAGGGAGGAGCGTTGCTGGGGCTGCAGCAAGCTTTGGAGGTTCGCTCTTTCACACTCTGGTGTTGCCCTTAGTGCAGTGCCAGAGGGTCCTCCTCGAGGGCCCAGTGTCTGGAGGGCCTTTTCCAGCCGTGCAATCTCCAGAGGATTCCTTTTGGGTGCAGTGAAACGAGCCCGGGCTGCAGGCGAGCGGCGTGCACTTGCCGAGAGCTGTTTGACTTGTGCAGCCGAGTGTGGTGTAACCTGGCCTTGGAGAGACTTTGAAAGTGGAAAATACCGGATCAGGAAATATGAGTCACTCCCGGGCTTTGGAATTTATTGATGGATTTGTTTCAATGGCAGCGGAGCTATCTCCAACTCACATGTGCAAAATAAACAAGGTGCTTGGACTGGTGTCCAGAAATGTCACACCAGAAGCCGAAGGGATGGCTCTGGATCGGGATGGAGGGTGCTCAGTGCAAGAGGCCTAATTAGAGGGATTAGGAGAATGTGCAGCAATTAAAGAAACCAGGCACTTAGCCCCCTGTTTGTCCTGGGACCAGCTCCAGTCCTCCCGGCACACTCCGAGTGCCTTTGTGTGTTTGATCCCTAAACGCTGACCCGAAATCCTGGGAATTGGCTCTGGCTGAGTGCACCCAGCTCATCTCACCAGTATCCTGCCCGTCTGAAAAGTGGTGACTGATCATCCCCATCAGGCCCTTTTTATCTGCTCTGTCTTTTTTTTTTTTTTCCAACTTCCTAAGCTTGTATTTTCCCACTTTCCTCTACAACCATAACAGTGAGAATTTAAGGAGTGTTCCAAGTCCCCAGGGGTCCCTGAAGGCAGGAGCTTGGGGGACAAAATGGCCAAGGTTTGGGATGTTCTGTGTCCCAAAGCTGTGCTCCAGTGGAGCTGGAAGTCAGTGCTAACAAAGCCCTTCACCACCACTGCTCTGCTGTTCATTGTGTGCCTCGTCGCTGTGTCTGATTGTCCCCTCGTGCTCAGAGCTGGTGAGGCCACACCTTGAATCCTGGGGTCAGTTTTGGGCCCCTCACTTACTACAAGACATCAAGCTGCTGGAGCATGTCCATAGAAGGGCAATGGAGCTGGGGAAGGGTCTGGAGCAAATGTCTGACAAGGAGTGGCTGTGGGAGCTGGGGGTGTTTAGCCTGGAGAAAAGGAGGCTGAGGGGAAACTTTGTCACTCTGCAACTGCCTGAGAGGAGGTTGGAGCAGCAGGGGGTCAGTCTCTTCTCCCTAGTAACAAGCAACAGGACAAGAGGAAATGGCCTCAAGTTGTGCCAGGGGAGGTTTAGATTAGATATTAGAAGAACCTTCTTCACTGAAAGGGTTATTAAACAGTGGAATGAGCTGCCAGTCACCATCCCTGGAGGTACTTAAAAGCTGTGTAGATGTGGTGCTTAAGAACGTGGTTTAGCACTGGGCTCAGTAGAATTGGGTTAATGGTTGGACTCGGTGATTTTAAAGGTCTTTTCCAAACAGAATGATTCAGTGATTCTGTGCTTCTGATGGTGGCTGTCCTCCCTTGCTCTTTGGCAGATCTCAGTGTCAGGGGGCGGGCTGCCCCCCGTCAGCACCCTGACCAACATCCACAGCTTGTCCCACCACAACCCGCAGCAGTCCCAGAACCTCATCATGACGCCGCTCTCGGGAGTCATGGCCATCGCACAGAGTAAGCAAACCCTGAGCTCACCTCTGCATGCCACTGGAACCCCCCACCCCACGCTGGGGAGGGGGACACCCTGTCTGCTCCCACCAGTGCTGATGGCCCCATTCTGCTCTCTCCCTCCTCCCAGGCCTCAACACCTCACAGGCGCAGAGTGTGCCAGTTATCAACAGTGTTGCTGGCAGCCTGGCAGCTCTACAGCCCGTCCAGTTCTCCCAGCAGCTCCACAGCCCACACCAGCAGCCACTGATGCAGCAGTCGCCCAGCCATATGACACAGCAGCCTTTTATGGCCACCGTGACTCAGCTGCAGAACTCGCACAGTAAGGGTCCAAGGGTCTGGGCTGTAGCTGTGAAGGGAAGGGCCTGGAAAATGAGTCCTGATGGAAAATAAGCTTGTGCTCTCTTCCTGCTCTCTCCTGCCCAAGCTCATGTCTGTGACTGCCACCTCCCCTCTGTGGGCACCAGCCAGTGTGGGGATGCACAAGGATATGGGGTGGCCACATCCTGCCTCATTTTCTCCTTCCTCTATGGAGAGAGGTCACATTTCACTCCATCCTTTCCTCTTCCAGTGCCATTTCCCATGGGGCTGCACTGCTGCCCCACCTGTGGGATGCAGCCCCCCCAGCACTTTGTACAAACTTCATTTTTCCACACGTGTTTTGCCAAGGGAGGTGGCCGGGCCCAATGAGTTCTCTGCAAAGCAAGCACTTCCCTGCTGTGCCCCAAAGGGATCTGGCTTCACCCCTTGGGCTCATCCAACACCCCAGCCCCATCCCTGCTCTGGCACTGGGCTCTGCAGAGCTACCAGTGTCTGGTCCAGCCACAGCCCTTTAGTCCCCCTGATCTGCCAGGGTGAGCAGGTAGCTGAGGAAATGGTGGCTTAGGGGCAGGTAGTGGTTTCTTTCCATGGCTTGTCTGATCTCCTTTGTGTCGCCATGATGCATGTTCCCAGCCCTGTGACCTGCCATAACGCAGTGCTCAGGCTATGGGTGGCTTCTCGGTGACAGCTGCTTGTCTCCCTCCTCTCCACAGTGTATGCACACAAACAGGAGCCTCCCCAGTATTCCCACACCTCCCGCTTCCCCTCGGCGATGGTGGTGACCGACACCAGCAGCATCAGCACGCTGACCAACATGTCTTCCAGCAAGCAGGTAATGACTGAGTGCATGCAGAGGTGGGCACAGGGGCTGTGCTAGACCTGCCTGGGCAGCTGAGGAAGAGCCTCAGGGTGCTGAGAACCCCATCCCAGCCTCTTCACGGGCTCTGAGAAACCTGCTTGCAGATGGCGTGATGGAGGTTTTGTCGATGGTTCAACTGTGCTGGACAAGAAGGACTTGTCATGGTGGTACCGTGCTTAATCCTGGGACAACTTCACTGGTTTGGGGGCATCCTCCTGGGGTTCAAATGGGGCTGAGGAGGTCAGGACCAAGCAGGCTCTGCTGCCTTTGTGTTCAGGATGAATCAACCCTGGTTGGACCTGAGCAGAGGAGCTGGGCCCCGATGTGCCTTGGTGTCCCCCAGCCCGTAGCCTTTATCACCTGCCCGGTGCCGGCGCAGGTGTAAGGCAGGACTTATCCTGGGTCAAATCAGGTGTGTGAGGCCTAACTCAGACAATAGTCCCTTTCTGAAAGGCAGCTCTGGGGACTGTGGGAAATATGTGGCCCTTATTGATCGCTAGATAAATACGAGAGAGCCTTGAACTTGCATTCAGATAAACTTTCTTACCGAGGTTTGACAGGAGAGAGGAAAAAAAATGCCTGCAATGACCAAAGAGCAAATAGGGTGTGGGATTGCTGAGAGACCCCCCCGGGTGACCAGTGAGGGGTGAAGGAAGGGCTGCAAAGGGGAGAAGTCAGGATTGGGGCTGCCCGGGGGGGTTGGGGGATGCCAGGGAGGAGGTGATGGACACCACTGCCCCTGGATGGGGCTCCCCAGATCACGGTGCTGGGGGTGAGCCCTGCCCTGGGCCCGCAGGCTCCTCGGGAGCACCATTTCCTCCGCGCGGCTTTATCGGCCCATCTGGTGTGCGCTGAGCCCGAACTCCCCCTGATTAATGGTGCTGCCCTGCCACGGGCGGCCTTTGATGCCGGGCTGGCCAAAAGGAGCCCTGGGCACACAGGAAATATCCCTGGCAGGGAGAGAGGGCCCGACCATCCCCGCTGCCTGGCTGGGCGCTGCGAGCAGCCTTCCTTGACGCCGCGCTGCCCGGGGTGCTGGGGGACCACTCGCTTTTCCCCTTCCATCACGCTTTTGCACTTTAATTAAAGCAGATCTCACGGCTCAGAAGGGGGGAGAGGGGCCCTGGCTCCCATGGTGGATGGGTGAAAAATGCCCAAGGGGCACACACCCACTCCCTTTGCCCCCCTCCATGAGGAATGAGCACTGGCTGGTCCTGCAAGTGCTGGGGGAAGGATCTGGCCCCTATCCCCCCCACACAGGGCTGGTGGGGGTAATGAGGACATGCCCCCCCTTCCTGCCAACTGCTCAATGTTTGAGCTAAAGCTGGAAAAATTTATCTTTGAACATTGATTCTTTTTTTTTTTTTTTCTCAGCCATCACCTGTTTCATTAGCAAGGGGCCAATGAAAGTGGCACAGGGGCAGCACAGGGGACCCATGAATGCTGCTCGCTCCCCCAAGTGTCTCAAATGCCTGAATTTTTTTGGTGGTTTGGGTTTCTGTTACTGGCTAGGGCTAATGGAGGCCATCCCTTGGCTCCTCCACGCTTTGTGATGGGCTTCTCCAAGGTGGCCAGAAAGGGCAGGAGGGTTGCTTGGATCCCCAGAGGAGCTGCAGTTTTGGGAGTGCTATTTGCTGGGCGAGAGCTGGGTGCTGCTGGTGGGAGTGCACAGATGAACCCCGAGAGTGACCCCCTCTTTGCAAGAGGAGAGGCATCCTCCTGCCAAGCAAAGCCTTCAGAGAGGCCTGGTGGCTCTTCTGCAGCCCTGGCAAACCTGCTCCATGGTGGAGCCTGGCTTCTCCTAGTCCTGCCAGCGGGGATGGAAGCTGGGGGGATGTCCCTGGTCCCCCCCCAGCTGTCCCCTCACAGCCCGATGCTGCAGATCGCTTATCAGATGTTGTTGTTTAGAGCTGGAAGGGGCAAATACCTCCTGGTTCCTTTGACAACGCTTGAGGCCTAGCCACCATTTTTATTACGTTAGCAAACACCTGATAGCTGCAGACTGTCCCTAATGACATGTCACGGGAGGCTCCTGGCGTCTCCTTATCTCCGCGTTGCCATGTTTGCTGTGAGCTCCAGCCCACAAGGTCACCCATGGCTCCCAGCCCCCCCTCCCCACCACTGACCAGGGGGACCCTGGGTGGGGGACCTGCCCCCAGGGATGGAGAAGGAGCTGTTGTGGTGGGATGGATGTGGTGGCTGCTCAGCTCCTTCCCCAGAGGTGACAGCACTGCTGGGGGACACGATGAGCGAGGTCCCCAGCCCCACTCCCGTACAAATGTGAGCTCCTCATGCCTGGCTGCTCTGAGCTGCACAGCACAACCCCTGCAGCAGCCTGTGCACAAACAGGCCCTTTTAAAATTATTACTATTCTTATTTTTATTTGTATGAGGGGGTGGCAATATCTGGCTCAGAAAGTATTTTCCCACTACCCTGGGGGTGCTGGGAAAGACACAGGGCTCATGTGGCACTGCCAAGGTCCCAGACTGATGTGGGAGGTGATGCCTCCAAATGCCTTGCGATGCCCCCGGGGAGCCCCTCACGGTGCTGCCTTCACCTCCTGCCCGCCGGTCACTCTGCTGCTCTCTCCCTCCCCAGTGTCCCCTGCAAGCCTGGTGATGCTCCACACCTCGCTGCTTTTGCACATAGCAACGGGATCATATTTTCCACAACATCCCACCGGTGACCCGCGTTCCGAGCCCGGGGAATCGCCGGAGCGAAGCCCAGCGCCGCCGCGAGGAGCCCAGCAACCCGGAACGGAGCCAGAGGCTCCAGGCTCCCTCACTGGAGACCAGCCTGGATTCACGGGACCCACCTGGGACCCTGCTTCTCCTTCCCTCCACACAGTATTTCCAAGACAAGTCTTGGGGATTTTATTTTGGTTTGTTGTTTTTTTCCTGAAGTATTTGCCTTCCAAGAGGCTGCCGGTTCTCCTGAGGAACAAGCTGAACTGGGAACTGGCAGAAGGGGAAGATGGATAATATTTAAGTTATACTCCTCCACCCAACGGACTGAGAGGGACTTGGGTCTGTTACTTGGAGTTTGGAAGGAGGAATTGCATGTGCTGTTGAACTGAGCCAATTCAACTGTAAATATAGGTACAGTCTGCTCTATCCTCACCCTTCCCTGCTCCTATACATAGAGATTTATATAAAAGAAGTAAATTTTTTCCAATGGATGTAAACTACTGTAATTAAGTGCAATTCCCCATCTGTATATATTGTGCCCAAATCTCTTCTCTTTCTCCTTTTTTTTTTTTTTTTTTTTTTTTGGTAAAGGTCAGAGCTGAGCATGGGTTTGGTTTTGTATTTTTCTTCTTCATTTACATGAGTTAATTCATGAGGAAAGAGCTGGGCCTATGCAAGGGGGCTGGTCTGGCAGCCCCAGTCTGTGCTCCACAGGAGGACAGGCACATGTGTGTCCTCTGCATGGTGACATCCCATGTGAAGGAAAGGCACAGGGCAAGCTGGGGGTAGCCCTGGCAGGACCTGGACGATCCATGTGGGGACAACTGCCACTACAGAGACCTCGAGAGACTCTTCTGCTTTTGGGGACTGTGAGATGGACTGTTGTGGGCTGGGGAAGCCTCCAGCAGGCTGGTCAACACACCCAGACCATTGGGAAGTGGTTCAGCATCGGCATTTCCAGGTGAGCCTGTAGCATTTGCTGCTGCAGAGATAAATGAGGCTGCAAGAAATTCTGGTGGGTTCTTCCTCAAATTGGGGTTCAGAAACTCCCCTCCTTGGGGTGCAGAAGGGACTGGGTGCCCAGTTGCTGCCTTGTTTCCTGCCCAGTAAACGGCCAGTAGAGGTGGCTTATTTTCCAACATTAGCAGGTTGAGGATGAGCCTTGTTGGCTTCACCCTTACCAATAGGCATGGTGCTCTCCTCCTGGTGGGGTCATGTCCAGGCTGCAGCAGGATGGATGGGCTCTGGTCTGTGATGGGAACACACTGGTCCCCAGTCTCTGCTGGCTGCCTGCCTTGTCTCACCTGGCAGCAGCTCTTTGAGGCAAAGCTTTGCAGCAAGACCTCCAGCTTGTGAGTGAGCCCAGCTCTGCAGTGAGGGCACAGCCCAGCTGGGCACCCACTGAGGACACCAGGCTCCACATCCTCTAGAGCCCTGAAGGGGTTTGGGTGTCCAAGTCCTACCTCCTGAAGCTGTAAAAGGCATCATCTGCCCTCCCAAGTGACACAAGCTCCTCCATACCTGCTCCGCTTTGGAAATGGATCTGATGCTCCCCAGTTGTGCACATTTTTAAAAGCTTTGCAGTGTGTTCTAACTGCTGAGATTGGTTTAGAGAGGTGGAGAGCAGTAGAGGTGCCTGTGGACAGATGACCACTGCTAAAGTGAAAAACACTGGATCCTTTGTTTGGGATGAGAAAGGCCCTTTTGCTCTGAGTTTGTACAACGTTTAGTGCAGTGGGACCCCAACCCTTGCTGGGACTTACAGGAGTTGCCCTGCAGTGAATAATGACTTCATCATGAGTTGGAGACCAATATTCAAGAATGAAATTTAATTTAATGTATACCATAATTAAATACCATTTCTTCTAACTCCTTGCTGCTCTGTGGTCTTTAAATTCCCCAGCCATTATCTGCTGTGGTTTAGGATATGTTGGTTGGGCTGGCAGTGGGAGGCAGGGACATGTCCTTCCTGCTGTCCCTTGCAATGCTAATCCAGGTTGCTACCTGCTTGGATGTGGTGAGTTAAGTACTTCATATGAAGCCTCAGATATCCCCCAAAACCAGCAAGAGTTTGGGAGACCTGTGTCCTCACCCTCCTAATGATGCACTAATGATGTTGCTCTTAGTCCAGCCCAGTTTATGCCTCATCCTCTCTACCTTTAGCAGCCGAGTGTTAAGCAAACCAATTAGGAGCTGAGTGCCTGACAAAGCCAAACCTCACCCGTTCTGGATCCTGAGCCTGTGGGTGATGAAGCAGCAGGGGGAGCAGGAGGGTGTGCTGCTCACTGGAAAGCTTTTGAAGATCTTTGATTGCAAAGAGCTAACAGAGCAGGGTGACTCAGAGCACATCAGGAGGGAAGGGTGGCCCTCCTCGAGGTGCAGTGCAGGGCTTTGGTTTGAATCACCTTCAAAAATGTCTGGCTTTGGTTTGGCACCCATATTGTTAATTATTTTTTTTCCCTAAGTCAAGTGTGGGAAAGGCTTTCAGAGCACTGACCTGATGTTCACCTTCATAGCCAGAGCAGGACACTCCGACAAAAAACTTCCCTGTGAGTTTTAGCTCCCCCAGACAAAAACTGAAACCACAAAGCTGGAAAAAGGATGGGAGGCATGGAGACCACTTTGTCCCTTCCATGCAGGCTCAGAAGCAATGCTCTGCTTTAGCAAAACTGGGAGAGAGGAGATGCAGGCTTTATCCTGAGATCCCCTTTGCACCCTCCTGTTCAGCAAGTCCATTCCAACACACCTGAGAGCCAGGCTGAGCCCTTTGCAAAATCTGCTCCTAAGTATCATATTCCCAGCAGTGCCTCATCCCTCAAGGCGGAAATGACTTGGATCCTACTTACACCAACCATGTTTTGCTCCATGAGTGGCTGATGAAGCCAACTGGGCTAAACTTTTCCCAGCTGATGTATATCCAGCATCAGATTGAATTGGTTCTGCAGGGGAACTGGTAATCCAGCAGGAAGGAAAGGGAAGAAAGAGGCACTGGATAACTTGCTGCAGCTGAGCTGGTGCTCCAAAGGGGAGTGGTACCTTCTGGGGTTTGATTTCTGCTTTAAGATAGACACAGAGTGAGAGTTGTGGGGCTTGGAGTGTGAGGGCTACAGGTAAAGAAATGTTTGGTGAGTGGCCTGGCATCAGTGCAGCTCTTCAGAAAGCCCTGCAGAGAAGGTGAGTGAAAACTTTGGGAAATGGAGACTCTGAGATGACACCCAACTAGAGAGGGACCTTGGTGAGGGGAGGACTGAGCCAAATAAGAAACTGGGAAAAAAAGGTATCCACAGATGCTGGTGGAGGTGATTACCACGGAGTGGAGAGTGTGTGATAAAGGAGGCAGGATAATGTCAAAAATACAAATACAACAAATTATTAAGAACAGATTGTATTTACCTAAGAGGTGTGAATTTATAAAGTTGCCAAATGGCTTGTCATGTGCTGTCACCCCTGGGCAGCAGCAGATGGGAAGGGAGAATGGATGATGGATTGCTAGAGGATGCTGAAGATGCTCCCCAGAGTAATGTGTTAGTGAGGAGAAGGGTTCCCTTGATTTGGATTTAACCTCTGGCTGAGGAAACCCTCCTGCCCTGGGGAACTACCACCCCAAACTACTTCCCTGAGCAGCCCCTGGGGCTGTCCCTGCCCAGCCCTCACCTTGTGCTGGAGAAGTGCTGGGTGGGGTGTTTGCTCCTGCAGATGCCGTGGTTGCCTCATTAAGTTGTTGGGAAATAGGATGTAAAGTTAAATGAGGCTCCTGGAAGATGGTGGGGTTTTTTTCCTCCCCTTGCTGTGGGCATGTTGTTTGTCTGTGATGCAGTTGTTAGGGAGCAAAGAAACTAGCAGAACCACGACAAAGTTCATTTATGACCAGCACAGTTTTACAGGGCTGGGTGATTATTTTACAGTTTGGAGCTGCTGAGAGATGAATTCCTTGCCCGTGAGGATCTGCAGGCTGCCACCAGGCTTTGCCAGTCACTATGTTTGTAACAAACTGCAGCCTCCTGCAGTGCAGAGGGACACCACTGCATTTAATTTGAAGTGCAGATGTGAATGCAAAGGAAAAAATCCCCCAAATCCCAGTGTTGCCGAGGTCAGGGAGTAACACCCAGGGTCAGGGCTGTCGTGGCTCTCTCCCTCCAGAGGGCACACAGCCTGGTGACACCTGCCCAGATGGGTAAATCCCATGCCCCAGTCACTTCCTGCTTGCACTGCAGCACCGGTAATGCTGCTGGTGAAGTCCCTGGGTCAAAACCAGGTTAACACCTGCCCCGGAGCCGTGATAGGGATTTATCAGGGCATGAGCACCAGCCCTTGGCACGGGACTGCAGCCACCCCTGTGGAGCAGGGCTCCTCACTGCTTATCACCTCTGTAATTGTGAGGAGGAACAGAGCCAGGGAAACCTCATCCAGGGCCAAACCCTGTGTGCTGGCTACCGGGCAGAGGCACCCTGGTGCTGTCCCCAGGTGTGTGATGGGAGCCCACGGTGGTGCAGACCTCAGTGCTCCAGTGCCAGCCCGGCTGTGGCCAGTCCAACTTGCACCAGCCGGCTGAGTATGCAGATTGCTAAGGAAGGCCCAGGCCATCCCCGTGGAGGAACCGGCGTCCTGCTGGCCACAAAGGGAACGGCCTCTCCAGGGATACCGAAATGCCGAGGAGCTATTTCAGCAACTTAAAAAATGTCGTTTGGCGCGCAGGGAAACGTGCCGCCCGCTTGCGCAACAGCACCCGGCTCCAAACCTGTGGGCTTTCCAGAGCTG